AGTTCCTATTGCCACGTTTAATTAGACATCAAACAAATATAGCTCTATATCACATATGATGCTCAGGTGTTGTAGCATTATGCCCTGTGAATCACATGTGATGCTCATATGGAGCCCTCTTTTAATCTCATACCTTGAACCAAAACAACCAGTTCCTATTGCCACGTTTAATTAGACATCAAACAAATGTAGCTCTATATCACATATGATGCTCGGGTGTTGTAGCATTATGCCCTGTGAATCACATGTGATGCCGGTACACTCGCTGTTAACAATATTTTCTGCCATTATTTAATTTATGTACTTCATATTGGTGTGTAATAAACAGTTTAACCCTTGAAACAAAAATCTACTAACACTCAAAAGCATTTCCATTATTAATCAATAAACGAACGTTGAATATTACAACTTGTTTCTTTTTTACCACCTTAACTAAGTGTACCAATTTAACACAAACTCGCCAAATACTGAAGCTACTGAGAACAACAAACATGTCCGTGCTTCCATCTGTCGGCACAGATGTTTAAATATTAAAAATACACGATCTTATAACACCAAGCTGTTTTTTATTCTTTAATTGTACTCTCAACGTTTCGCTTTACAACTTCTTCAGGAGCGTTAACTAAAACACAAACCGTAATTGACAGTACAAAACTTCAAATGATTTGAATAATATATCATAATCGAATCTATAGCGTGTATTTCTACAGCATGCGTTTGATATATCAAGTAGTAAGTTTATTGTTGAAAGAATCAACTACTACCTGTAGTAAACAATTATTGGATAATTAAAAATAATAGATCACAACTCCAGTGAACTAAAGACTAAAATCTATGAATATCCACCTTTTTACATCGAACAAAATTTCAAGGTCTATGACGTGCAAAAATCAGTATCGCACTTCCAACATGACAAAACATATATTAACCATGATGAAGCCGCAACGACGAAACGTTGGTGAAAATTAAAAGTTCTTTTGTAACTATCCGGAGTTTAAAGGCCGATTTTCTCTTAACCTTTTGATCAAAAGGATCTTGTTTAAACCAAAGACATAAATAGTATTTTATTATGACTCCTAAAAATAGAATCTAAGCAATTGAGTAACATAAAAAATGAATAAATAGATCGATAAATAAATGAATAAAATCTGAGAAAGATAAGCGCAGTACAAAAGTGGTCATTCAGAGTGACAAAACCATTCCTACTTGATTCACCTAATGGATTAGCACATTAGACATACACGTGAAAACATTTATTAAATAGTCCAAATTCACTAATTCACAGTATTATGTCGTGTTACCTCATTATGCTCTCATATGTTTCTTGACCTTTGACCCTTCGACATCGCTTTCTGTTGCTTTGATACTTTCATGAGTCATGAAGTAATGTATCAAAATGTTTTTCTCTTGAGTACTGAAAACTACGGACTGGAAAATGATGAGGATTTTGTCTCCATCTTAAAGGGGAGATTCCATTGTCTTCCAGAAATAATACTATAAACATGTCAAAACATTCAAAAAGAATCATATTCTTTAAGAAACTCTCTTATAGTTAGAGTTTGCAAACATGATAACACGATGTTTTATAACCATCTTATTTGTTGCATGCAAAAATCTTTTTGGTACACAACAACACCCTCTCCGAACGGCGTGTAAACGTCCGCCATTTTTCCCCATCCAATTAATCTGAAAATGGTATCAAAATATTACATTTTTTCTCTTTGTATATCAATCAAATAATATTTGAATACTAACTATAGTACAGAACTTTGGTTACCGAACTTGCTTGTTCTCCATTACATGAAACAACTAGTCTTAATATTTTACCCTCCCAAGTGGCACAGCGATATGTCTGCGGACTTACAACGCTAGAAATCGGATTTAAATACCCGTGGTGGGCAGAGTACAAATAGCCCATCGTGTAGCTTTGCGCTTAACTACAAGCAAGCTTATTATTATTTTTCATGGAATATTTTAATAGATTTAGTGTAAAGTAGGTCTATAACCTATGAATTGTTTAGAACGATATTTATACACCTGTTTATTTACTATATGTAATTCAGATGATTCTTAGGAAAGGGTGAAGTTAATTATTTGTGTACTACCACTAATTGTTAAAATGTTAAAATACACTTTTATTATTTGTGTACTACCACTAATTGTTAAAATGTTAAAAGACACTTTTTTTATATTGATAACCGATTATATGTGTTTACAGGTTGAATCAGCTATTAAGAAATATGGTCAGAAAAACGTCAAGTGGTCATCTCAGGGCATGCTTCGTTTAGAGCCGTCTGCCATGTTTAGTCTCTTTCAGACCACCGTCCACATGATAAAGCAGCACATTGCTAACATCCTAAACAACACAACAGTTGGTAGAATTGACTATATCTTCCTCGTCGGTGGCTTTGCCGAATCTCAGTTTGTCCAAAAAGAAATCAGAGACGCTTTTTCCCCCTATCTGAAAGTCGTCATTCCTCAAGGGGTCAGTCTAGCTATCGTAAAGGGGGCGGTTTTATTCGGTCTGGACCCCACCATTGTTAACGTTAGACGCTCAAGGATGACTTATGGTGTAGGAGTCCTTAATCGCTTTATTCATGGTGTCCATCCTCCTGAGAAACTAATTGTCAAAGATGGCGTGGAATGGTGTACTGACGTCTTCGACAAATTTGTCGTTTCTGACCAGTCCGTGGGACTAGGAGACATCGTTCTGAGAAGTTACACTCCAGCAAAGGCTGGTCAAGCTTGTAGCATCATTCACATTTATTGCAGCGAACTGGACGACGTCCACTTTATTACAGACCCAGGAGTCATGAGATGTGGTTCTTTGACGCTGGATTTATCCGATTCCAAGTATCTTTCGAATGTTCCTCGTCGTCGAGAAATTCAGACAAGAATGGTTTTTGGTGATACAGAAATCAAAGTCACAGCTCTGGATGTAGTCACAGGCACGTGTGTGAAAGCGGACATTGATTTTCTTAACAACTGAAAGTATCATCTCTGAACACAACAGATAATGAACAAGGATGTAAAAACTTTATGTTTAAAGACTCATATTTATCGCATATAATAGGTTTTGCGATTAGTAGACCTTCAACAATGATGTGTTAAATGGTTAATTGTTTTGTTTACGAATATTATTCATGTAAAACTCCTGTACTGCACGTGGATAGAAATAATTTTGTTATTTTTAACACAACCTGTGCAATTGAGCCTCACTTGGCGAAACCAATTTCAAACCTAGTGTTTGTCACCCCGTTTATTATTACGAGTTTCGTTTCTTGCATTTGATTCATATATTCACGGATTAAAGAATCGAAATGGTTATACTTTATAGAGCTAAAGTTTCATGTTTTTTGTAAGATCAACGTGTAGTGTTCCACTAAGAAAACAGTTAGTATAAGTCAGCAGGTAAAGCTGACACTGTTATACAATGATAAACGTGCCAAAGAAATATATTGTATTTTAAACACGTAGTGCTATATCTATGTTATGTGGCGGATTGTTTTCCCATTAAGTGAAACGACATTGTAGTTTATCTAGTGGATTGTATTAGGAACTACTTTTTTCAATGATCTATTTCGAGTCGGTTTCAACCAACTTGTAAATAGAAATATAAATGTTAATTACTTGAGAGTAGTTTAACGGAACGCATATATATATATATATATCTTCTATTTTTCCAGTCATTATGTGAAGTTTTTTATGAAATTCTTATGAGACTTTAACAGTATTGTATCAAATTCACTACAGACATTCGACAACTACCACAGGAATGTGATTATACTGTTACTACAGTAGGTTTTTGTACTCTTTCCTAAAACATTGTAACATTCACCATTTTATGTCTGTTGACCCCACTGACTTGAAATTAGTGTAAAAAATATTTTAAATATTTCAGTGAGATACTACTCGAATTCTAACCCTAGCATCGACTTTAGTCATTGACCCTGCCACTCCTCTTTTGTTTGTTAACCCTATCACTGTCCAGTAACTGATGAAACAATACTTTATAAGATATTGTTAACAGCGAGTGTACCGAACTGATGAAACAATACTTTATAAGATATTGTTAATAGCGAGTGTACCGAACTGATGAAACAATACTTTATAAGATATTGTTAACAGCGAGTGTACCGAACTGATGAAACAATGCTTTATAAGATATTGTTAACAGCGAGTGTACCGAACTGATGAAACAATACTTCATAAAATATTGTTAACAGCGAGAGTATCGAACCGTTGTTTGTTTGTTTGTTTTTGAATTTCGCGCAAAGCTACACGAGGGCTATCTGCGCTAGCCGTCCCTAATTTAGCAGTGTAAGACTAGAGGGAAGGCCACTAGTCATCACCACCCACCACCAACTCTTGGGCTACTCTTTTACCAACGAATAGTGGGATTGACCGTCACATTATAACACCCCACGGCTGAAAAGGCGAGCATGTTTGGTGTGACGGGGATTCGACCTCGCGACCCTCATATTGCGAGTCGAGTGTCGTAACCTCCTGGCTATGCCGGGCCACCGAACTGTTGAAACAGTGCTTTATAAGGAAATATCACAAACATTTCGAAATGAAGAGCAGTTTCTCAGTGGAAATAACACAAATATTTCGAAATGAAGAACAGTTTTTCAGTGGAATTAACACGAACATTTCGAAATGAAGAAAAGTTTTTCAGTGGAATTAACACGAACATTTCGAAATGAAGAACAGTTTCTCGGTGGAAATAACACAAACAATTCGAAATAAAGATCAGTTTCTCAGTGGAAATAACACGAACATTTCGAAATGGAAAACATTTTCTCAGTGGAAATAACACAAACATTTCGAAATGAAGAACAGTTTCTCGGTGGAAATAACACGAACATTTCGAAATGAAGAGCCAACTTTCTATGAAAATATCGCAAACGTTTCGAAATGAAGAACATGTTCTCTGTGCAAGTAAAACGAATATTTCGAAATGAAGAGCAGTTTTTCTGGGGAAATATCACAAACATTTCGAAATGAAGAACAGTTTCTCAGTGGAAATAACGCGAAAATGTCGAAATGAAGAACAGTTTGTCAGTGGAAATAACGCGAACATTTCGAAATGAAGAGCAGTTTCTCTGTGGAAATAACACGAATATTTCGAAATGAAAAACATTTTGTCAGTGGAAATACACGAACATTTCGAAATGAATATCAGTTTCTCAGTAGATATATCACAAACATTTCGAAATGAAGAGCAGTTTCTCAGTGAAAATGACACAAACATTTCGAAATGAAGAACAGTTTCTCTGTAGAAATAACGCGAACATTTCGAAATGACGAACATTCTCTCTGTGGAAATAACACGAACATTTCAAAATGAAGAGCCAACTCTCTATGGAAATATTACAAACGTTTCGAAATGAAGAATAGTTTCTCAGCAGAAATAACGCGAACATTTCGAAATGAAAAGCAGTTTCTCAGTGGAAATAACACGAATATTTCTAAATGAAGAACAGTTTCTCTATGCAAATAAAATGAACATTTCGAAATGAAGAGCATTATCTCTATGGAAATATCACCAACATTTCGAAATGAAGAGCAGTTTCTCTTTATTTAATAACATAAATATTTCTAAATGAAGATCAGTTTTTCTATGGAAATGACACGAACATTTCGAAATTAAGATCACTTTCTCTATGGAAATATTACGAACATTTCGAAATGAAGATCACATTATCTGCGGAAATAACACGAAAAGTAGAAAATACAGAATACCCCATTCTAAATTCTAGCTTAAAGTAAACAATAGACGTCTTCCTACTGTTGATTTGGATTATTCTGATATATATATTATTAATTACTAGCGCTAAGCCTAAAATAATTTTAGTGAAACATTAAATTCGTCTTAAGATTGATTTAAAAATAATAAGTTTCAAACTTCCATAATCATGTACATAACTTACGTACTTGTCTGAAATTTCAGTATTTTATAATTACATTGTATTATTCCAATGTTAATAAGTACGTACATAATTTACGTAATTATCTGAAACTTAGTAGTTCATAACACATAGTACTTTTCCAAAATTGTTATTACTAAAAAAGTTAAAATTATCAATCAATTCACAAAAAGGAATAAAAATTGTGCTTACATTTCAATTAGCCATACAAACAAAACTTATAATATTTCCTCTGTTCCAGTGTTTCGGTTATGAGAATTACTCTAAACAAAACGTCTAATATTTTCCTCTATTCCATTGTTTCGGTTATGAGACTTACTCTAAACAAAACGTTTATTATTTTCCTCTATTCCAGTGTTTCGGTTATGAGAATTACTCTAAACAAAACGTCTAATATTTTCCTCTATTCCAGAGCTTCGGTTATGAAACTTACTCTAAACAAAACGTTTATTATTTTCCTCTATTACAGTGTTTCGGTTATGAGACTCACTCTAAACAAAATGTCTAATATTTTTCTCTGTTCCAGTGTTTCGGTTATGAGACTTACTCTAAACGAAACGTCTAATATTTTCCTCTATTCCAGTGTTTCGGTTATAAAACTTACTCTAAACAAAACGTTTATTATTTTCCTCTATTCCAGAGCTTCGGTTATGAAACTTACTCTAAACAAAACGTCTAATATTTTCCTCTATTCTAGTGTTTCGGTTATGAAACTTACTCCAAACAAAACATTTATTATTTTTCTCTATTCCAGTGTTTCGGTTATGAGACTTACTCTAAACAAAACGTTTATTATTTTCCTCTATTCCAGAGCTTCGGTTATGAAACTTACTCTAAACAAAACGTCTAATATTTTCCTCTATTCC